GGTAGTCTTTGGCAGACTCAACTATCGTAATCTGCATTTCAAAACTAACTCTAAGAGAGGTCTTCTTGATTAGTGAACACGTGAGCTGTCTGTGCGATGCAAGTCACATTTGCAAACCTCAGTAATTGCTAAAATGGTTAACTAATGACTTTCGTCGAAAAATGTTAAAAGGATTCCAAGAAAGTTCTGAGGATTTGAATTAATTTGTTCCCAAATTAAAAACGAAAGCAACCTCTCGTGATTGTTTCACCTTTACTTCCGCTTTATGCGAAACTTCGAAGTTCATTTCAGTTGAAAACGAAATGTTTATGAAACAAATTGATTCCTCCTAACCAGAAAACGTTTAAGTAATGAAATTTCTCCCTGAGTTCGGGGTAAATTGAAGCAGAAAGTCTGGTCCATGCGAAATGAACGAATTCTCAGTAATGTTTACGCAAAACGGAATAGTGTGATATATCTACAACCACGATGCGAAAGAAATCAAGATTATTTCATTCAACGGTAATATTTATCTTCCTTTAAAACCCTAACCATGAGTTTCTCAGAACTTACTGTTACTAACATTATTGCACGTCTAACAGACATAAACTATATTCAAAGTCACGATCGAAGAGCTCTGACTTGAAATATTTGATGCATATTTTTAAAACAAATTCATCGCAATCGCACAGAAAAATCCTCCAATGAAACAGCTCACCTGTTACTTGACTTAAACTTGCTTACATCGAAATATTTTATTCGGAAACGAAAGTTTTCCGTTTAAGCCTTTGGATCTCCAAAGAAAAGTGATCACGCCACCAGTGCATGATAGACGCATTAACATTTGCTATTTTTAGCTATTATCATGTGTCCTCATGTATTTCGGGGAACTAAGTACCTTTCGGCGAATTACTCTTTCATAAAGCAATACTATACATGCATGGTCTTGGAGAGTGAAAGTTTTCCTGTTGACGTAGCTGCTACCTCGTCATTATTTCAAAGGGCAACGTTTCTTGATTCATTTTATAGCAAGAAACTCCCGAAGCGTGCCGTTTGATTCGCTGCTGTATCGGCGAGTAAACTGAGGTAAGTTGAGGCTCACCAATGTGGCCTCCTTCTTAAACCTTAATGCTCCCGAAAAGTGCGTTGGAGTAAAAAGTAATACAAAAAAAATTTGTTCAAGGTTTAATAAGGTCAAAATTGTTTTAAAATCTGATTCGAGTCGTGAAGAATACCTTTTTCTAACTGTGACAAGCCAGAAATGAATGGCGAAGTGAAAATCAATTTGAGGTACATAAACACTATAACGGCCGTTTGCAAGAAAACCTCTCTTGCAATCATCAAGATTTATTTTGTTTTCCTTCGTTAGTAAATTACAGATGTAAAATGCCAGCACAGACCCCTTTAGGAGGATATAAATCTCATAAAAAGCATCAAAGATGATAGGAAGAAACTGAAACTATTTACTTCTCTTCTGTCCGTGAATTCGTAGCAAGTACTGTTCTCAAGATAGATGTGAGTCTTAGATATACCTTAAAAAGAACGCTTTAAATGGATCGATCGCCAACGAAAATTTCAAAATCTGGTACAACAAAAGTTGTGTTCAGTTACCTCTTATCCCCTCGAGAAATCCAGTCGATTTAAAATTCCCAAAACCCGAAAACCTTCCGAGGAGCCAAACCATAAGAGATGTTTAAACATTAATCGCCGAAAAGATCTGTTACGCAAAACTTAGAATAGATATTCATTGATGTCCTTGTCACGGCTTTCGGCTTGATCCCACGTAACTCTTGCAAACAACAAAATAGATTAGATTTAGGACAAATGAATCCTATCTTTGCATCATTGATTCGAGTCAATTTGACAATTTTCGGTCATTGTTTATTGCAGCAATGGAAAAATAAATACACAGTTTCCGTTTGACGCAGAAGTCGCAAAGAAAGCAAATACTTTTACGTATTTTGGCTGTTTTTAATTGCTTCAATTATGCTCAGAAACAGTTTTTCGATGGTTAAGTGCCGCTCTCGCTAAGAGCGGTCCCCTCGACTTCCCGTCGAAAAAGGTTTCCTTTTATTTTTTGTCCATGAAAAGGGGTTAGGACACGTGTTTCAAAAATAGTTTAGTTGTTCTCTAGATCTCTTCCTTATCGCGTCGTCACTCTCGTGACACCCCTGTCCACCCGTGTGGAGTTTCACAGATTTTCACAGATTTCACAGATTTTGTCGAGGGCACAGCGACTGCAATAATATTGACTCCACTATCTTGCTTAAAGTTACAAGATGTATTTAGTTAGGGTCGGGACGCACTGGACTGACAAACTATGTTTGGCCCTACCAAAAATCTGGACAAAATTTGTCTCTGCCAAATTTTCAATTTGTTAAGCGTGGGCACACTAAGACACAGCAAAATATCTGTTAACCACATGTGTCAATCACGTGAGACAAGAGCCTCTATCGCAAACATAGCATGCACCATCGATGAGACACTTATAAAAATAAAGCCTCCAAAAGAAAGCGCTGTCGAATACTTAAGCCGATAAAAATCTAACAGTATTTCGCCCTGGAGATGGAGCTGGAACGTAAACTTGGGAACCGTAATAGTTTTATTCTGAGTAAGAATCGTTATGCAGCATACCGAGGTATGAATCTTCCACCTTCACAGTTTGATTGCCGCGCAATTAAGAAATAATTGTGGCGGGCTTTAGATTGAAATACTCCGACTAAAAATAGAGATTAAATTTTCTTGATTGACATTTTCCTTCAAATCATGGCCTGTAAATTGACATATCTGTCAGATTTCACGCCTGAAAAAAAGAGGTGTCCTGCTTCGAGGCAGGACGACGGCGTCTCTGAAGTTTGGTAAGCCTTGACATAATTTGATCAATCTAAAAATCACCGGGCGCACTTGTCTCAGGGAACTGGTGACAGATTTTTTCGCAAAGTAAACGAAAATTTGCCCAGTGCGTTTGGGCCCTTGGTTCACAGACTTCGACCTTAATTTGCATATCAAAAAATCACCAATTTGCACGAAAGAATTCTCAAAATGCAGGCGTTTATCGGGCTAAAAAAGTATATCAGTGCATAGTTTATAAACTAAATAGGTCATCGAAACTCGCGGGTATATCTCTAACTATCATCCACCAACATCTTAAAAACAATACAAATCCATTTGTTTATTCTATTGCGCTCCTGTCAAAGATTATTTGCGTAATCAGAAAATTGACCAAGATTTTCCTTTGACCGTTCAAACTTCGTTTGTTTATCTTCTACGTTGAGGATTTTAAGTTTATGGAAAATAGATGCCAAGTCGGCCGTAACGCTCGCGTGCTTCTGTGACTTACAAAGTAAACAAAGATGATCGGAAGGCGCCTTGTCAATAATTTTCGTTGAAATATCAGGTCATGAACTGCGCACTGTGCGGAAAAGATCAGAATTATTAAATAAAATATGCACTCTGGTCATTACGGACCTATCGCGTAGCTTTTAAGCCTTTAAGCGACGCGATACGAAAAAACTTATTGAATACATCTTCTAACTTGAAGCAAGATAGAATTCCGTGAGCTATATTATTTCTGTCGCTGTGCGCTCGACAAAATCTGTGAAATTTACGCACGGGTGGTCTAGTCGAAAAATCACTTTTGGCTTGTGGCGACGCAATAAAAGAGAACTGGAGAACAACAAAACTATTTTGAAATATGTGTCCAAACCCCTTTCCATTGGTAAAAAGTTAAAGAAAACATTTTTTCGACGGGAGGTCGAGAGGACCGCTCTTAGCGAGAGCGGCACTTAATTAGCTTTGCATCCAAAGTAGATTTTGATCATGTGAATGTTCTATAAAATTTCCTTAAACACAGTTCGCTTCGTTTTCAGAGTTTCTGGTTTGAAAACACGAAGGTACATTGTGTAATAGATCTTTCCTGAAAGTCATCAAGCCTTATCATTTTAACATTAGAGAAAAGAAACACTTATTGTCTAAGTATATTTATTCACTTATTTTAACGTCAAAAGTTGGAAGCTGAAAGCCAACTTCTACTCATTTCATTAATTTCAGTCTCATTTGATGCAAAATATTATTAACTTCAGGCCAGTAACGGTATAAACACACCTGATATGCCATGTTGACTCACCGATTGAAAACACTTATAGTTATCACTAACAAATCACTATGTAAGCCTGGCATACTATTAAACATGATGTCATGAAATATCTGTAAGCAGTTACTTTCGCAGCATAGAGTTACGTAAGCCATCGCTCAGAATCCAAAATGAGATTTCTGTTGTATATAACCGTCAATCAAAGCGAAAGTTTTGAGGTTGTCTCCTCCGTGTAAAGCAAAAAGGAATAAAATAAGGTAGAAGTGGTTTAACTGACTATAAATCAAGTAGGTTAAATCAATATCGACACCAACTTTGATATAACTTATGGTTGTCTCTTGAATGACTCAGCCCAAATTTTCCTTTATTTAACCCTCATGAATGAAAATTTACTTAAGGGTAGAAAAGTGTGATGCAACAATAGGTGTTAAAAGGTAGTTTTAGCTTGTTACATTTTAGCAAAGGTAATACCATGATTTCGAGTGGAATTTGGTGCTAATAAGATCAAGTAAATTTTTCAAAGACAACAAAATTGAAATTGCATGATCCTGTAGGGCAAGTGCAATTTTTAGTCTTTGAAATATTTACAAGTGCTTGTGACATCAAATTGCAAGAGAAATCATGTTATTACTTGCTACTAATGAACGTGAAAAAACATTACAAAGTCAAGAGAGAAGAAATCTTAAAAGTGTGCGCTCTATTGGCTATTTGAACTGGTGTTACAACTTTGCACTCCTCGTGTTACAACTTTGCACTTGTGTTACATGAGGATGCACTCATTTTTAGCCAATCAGAAGCGCATGTTTTTTTCATTTGCATTATAGTCAGAAATTTTCCACTCGTTCAGTATTTTCACACCAAACTTGACATAAAAACCTTGGTGTTATTTTGCAGACAAGATTAAAGCTTGCCTTCTTTTAAAACCACAATGTCTGAACAATGTGCAGTTCCCCTTTGTCTCCCGAACAACTGTAAATGGGACAAGCAGACAGGGGAGTACAGCAAGAGCGCTGGCCCCAGAGAAAGCCTTTGTGTTGTTGACGTAGCCATAGAGAGGCTCAAGAGCATCAAAGGTAGAGTTATCATTGACTAGAATACAGCAAGAATTTATTACTGAATGTTTCAGTGTATTTTGATAAGATGATTTACATATCGAAAATGACAACTTAATAACAAAAGAAAAAGAAAGAAAAGAAAAGAAGAAAATGAAACGAACCAGACCAAAAATAAAAGAGAAATACAAACTGCTTCAGCTATTTCCGATTTAAATTAGTCTCAGTATTCTCCATACTGTTCCTAAGACATTTCCTAAGGTGCTGACAAGGAGAATTTGTTTAACAATCAAGAGCTTCTTTAGTTGGTGATCATTTCCTTTATTCTCCTGACCTTGATGTGTGATTCAGGGGTGATAATGAGAGGAGAAATTAGATGAAGGTCCCTGTATTCTCTCATCGTTGTCTCTCGTTATTAAACTACGGCCAGGGTCAACAATACCTGCTCTTTTTTTTTTTTCAGGGCCAGTATGCGTGGTTTCAATCGCTGGTCCTTATCGCAAAGGAAAATCGTACATCCTGAGTAAAGCATTCGATCAGGGAGGAGTGTTTCCTCTTGGAGTTTCTCTAGATCCGGAAACCATGGGAATTTGGATGTGGATTGTTCCAGATAAGTTAAAGGTATTTAAGAGTAACATCTTCGGTGACGAAAAATACCCAAACTCTTTAACTACCGATTCAATCGGAAAAATAGATAAGAAGAGCAAGGAAGGATATGCAGGAAATTCTTAGCTTAAAAGTGGAGAAAGTCAGGACACAAACCTACACCGCCGGCGAGAGCGGATCGTACAGAAACATAACTCAACATCTGTTCCTGGGCTTTAGATATGCATTACTACCTGCAAAACTTATGATGGTTTTTCTTTACAGTCTTTTGAAATTTGGCTGTTTGAATAAATAGCATTCGTTTGCTGAGGTGAATTTAGTTAGACAGTCCGTTCTTTCGTCACTATTTTGTTTGATCTACCATAATATTTTTCCCAACTATATTTATCTTAAAATTAACAATTTAGTTCAATTCTTTCTGATGTAATATTGAAGGTAACAATCTAAAGGAAAAAAATTAAGGTAAACGTTAATTCCGTTTCCAATATCGCACTATTTTTTATTTTCTTTGCCTTTTCTGAAAAGGACTCCAATGGACAGGAGTTCACAGTGGTTTTGCTTGACTCTGAAGGCATAGACGCCGTGTCAAGTGGTGAATCGAACGATCACTGTATTTTTACACTGACCATCCTTCTGGCTTCGGTACTGATTTACAACTCTGCTGATGTACCGACTAGAACTGATCTTCACGGACTAGAGTATCCTTAATCAAAGGTTTTGCTTTGTGAACCTTTCAATTGATGTTTAGCAGCTTCAGTATTGCCAATTATTAGATGGAGTCATATTGATTGAGTTTCTATGGAGAATAAAATACCAACTACATCAGTAGGTCAAAGAAGTGTAATACTTAAGTTTGTTATTTAAAAGACGAAAGATTTTAAGCTCAGTCGTCGAATAAGGAGCTTTGGAAAAAGATATCAGATGTCTCAAGATGGACAAATATTTTTTCTTTCGCCACGTTGGTGCTAACACGGATAACTTCTAAATTTTTAAGGCCCACTTTTCATATCGTGTTCGCCATGAAAAGTTTTTTCTTTGCATAATTTAAATGACAATTCTAAGTCTCTGTTTGAATGTCCTGCGAATTAAATTGGTTTAGAAAAGATCTTTGACCTCCTGCAACAATGTCTCGGAAGACAGAAATCGAGTGAAGTGTGTGAATTACCAAAATGTAAAGTAGAAAAAAAAAAAAAACAGAGAAATTACTGTTACTCAAGATCAATTAGACACTGAAATCCATACATCGTCTAAGTAAAGATTATAGATATCTAACAGATCTGGATTTCAATATGGGAAACGTAGCTTTGTATTAACTACTTGTTTAAAATTTAGGTTGGATGATTGATCTACCACTTTTTTCCTTGAATCCTTAACATTTATCACAGCTTTATCGTGAAACTCTCTCAGCGAATTCAGTTTCGTTCGTCAGCACAAACGAGTGATTCAGTTAGTGGAGAAAGTGTGCAAGCTGATACAAATCAATTTCGTAAAACATTTCCCTTCTTCATTTGGCTGCTGAGGGATGTTTTTCTGTGTATTCCAGGGGACTGTAACAGTATCAAGGATTTCTTCCTGTCAAGGGTGGGTTTATAAAGTTTGTTTTCAAGGATAACTTTATGCCAATTTGTTCGAAGGTAACTGATTAATAAGTGTTTTGTCATTGAGGCATAAATTCAACTTTTACTGCATAACACTTGTACTGGATAATGCCCTGAAGGAAAACTCAGGATCGTTTGCATAAGTTTCATTGTTTTAACAGATTGAACAGTGGAGAGAGGAAGGAAAAGTACGCGATTTCGAGCTACAGTGCTCATTGCGAAGAATTGCTCGTTAATTTTGAAGTAAAGCTGTCATCTTTCAATACCGCAGAAATACAACTGTCGGTAGTTTTGTTGCATCTAGGTTTTCAAATTCGACCATGCTTCAAAAGGCGACCAATCACATCAAGTGGCAGAGAGTATCTTGAATTTCTTCCCTGGGTTTGACGTTTTCAAGCTTCCTCAGCCTTCATCAGACCCGGAAGTGTTATTGAACCTTAACAGAGACGAGGTGCAGCAAGATGTGAAAAAGTCATTTTTCCAAGGAGTTCAGGAGTTCAAAGCACTGCTTAGGTCTAAGCTATCACCTAAGCGCAGTTTTAACGATGGAGAATACGTAACTGGTGAAGGTAGGTGGATTCCTCAGCCCTCTTCCCCTTATCCACCCTCCCTCTCCCCCCCCCCCCTCCTACGTCATGAATTTACTAAATCCATGCAAAATAAATTGAAACTTTCTAATGAGCTTTGGGCATCAAGGGAATGGACGTAGTGCACTGAAATGACCTTTCACGGCCCAGTTAAAAATCCAGAGCAAATGCATAATCAGATCCTTACTTGATAACTTATTTTCAACGAAAAGGCCTTGGGAATTGAGTTGAGATCATTTCGTTCAGGGTCATTCATGTCAAGTAAGAACACCTTTCTCCCGTTTATTTTGTGACTTTACCTTATATTGAAAATAGTCATCAGTAAAATTAATCATAGATGCAGATTTCTTTTTTAGCGCCTGATGTCCAGAATTTCTGATTATCAAAAATAGCTTTGAGTTTGAATCTTTAGAGTACCGCTCAGAAATTCGCATTTTTCATAAATCCCAAAAAATCTAAGATTCTATCATGTAACTTTTTAGAATTTGTGCAAGAGACGAAACTTGACATGGAAAACCCGCCTTTGTGAGACCCGTCAAAGATATTTAGTTTGATGTTAAATACGCAAGAAATTGAATATAAATTTTTAATAAAATTAATTATTTTTCTCTCTTTAAAATCATAGCTCTTGCAGCTCTCGTTAATATTTACGTTTCTGCCTTGAACACTCCTGGTACAGTACCCAATGTGCAGAGTGCGTGGGAGAGCTTTGTGCACACTAAGTGCACTGAGACGAAACTTGCCGCCTTGCAGGTGTATGAAAAGATAATGACATCAGAGCTAGATGGTTCACTGCCTTGTGGCAGCGATAACATTCGTCAGGTTCAGGAAAGAGCTATTGAAGAAAGCATGAGGATTTTTCAGGAAGAAACTGTCGGAGTTTCCGCCTCGAGTAGCGTGAAGTATTTGGATGAGCTCATGGTAAGACTTCAACATTACAGTGTTATTATGAAGGTGCTGATTAAAAAAATTTCTAAGAGAATGATCGAAAAAGCTTTTGATGGTTAAGGGATATTCATCCTCGGGTAGTTTATTAATTCGATGGCGTTTTTAGTACACGCGTAGCAAATCTAGTTGAGATATATAAGGGTTTTCCAAGCACTTTTCAGTATTTAGTATTGCCTCAAAGGTTCATTAGCGCGGCTCCTGTCAGGAACACTCAGTATTTTAGTTTCCTGAGGACGCCTACGTTTCAGACTAAAAGTACGACCTTATTATGAAATAAGCATCGTTATTTTTTTAGGAGAGTATGAACGAAGGGTTGAAACGATGGCAAGATGAGAACAAACGATTAACGAAAGAACAATGCCATAAACTGCTGAGGGCCTTAAAAAAAAAACACTTGGACCCCATTCTGAGGGAGCTAAGCGGCAAGGATGGAGCAGCAGTCAGCTTTGCTCAGATCATTGGTGGCTACTCAGCAATTGAACAGGGATTTAATCGTGACGCAAAGGGAGCCAAAGACGTTTGCGCTCAAGTGTTTTACGAGTTTCATCCGGTAGGCCAAGCTGAGCCAACCAGTTAGAGCTGTCCATCAATCTGAAACCTTTATGTTTCTCTTTATAAGGGATTTAAGATTTGCTTATTTGTCAATTTTTTCTCTCTATCAGTATTGAGGATGATCACTCTCTTCTTTGCTTTGTTACCAAAATTGTGTTTTCATTAACGAGAAAAACAGAATGATGGA